CGAGCTGGCCGCGGGGGCGGCAAACACGAGGTCAAACACGGTGTAATCGCCAGACTTGTCGAAGCTGAGGATGTCACCGCGCTTGCCGCCTGCGCCTGGGAAGCCGGAGGGCTCTTGTGTCGCGCGGCGGTTGAGCTGCATGAAGGCCCGGGCGATGGCGTTCTGCATATAGTCGTGCCGGCCCGTTCTTGTGGAGTCGCAGACTTCTGCGTGGTCCAGCTTCATCTCGCGCCCGCAGCAGTAGCAGCTGCCTGATGCACGCGACTCGGAGCAAGGTGTCCGAATCCGCTGGCTCAGAGCAAACCGAAACACCTTGTCCGACATCCGTAGGTCCTTGCAGCTGGGCAGGGCCAGGAGCCACTCGTAGCCGCCGTGCAGGCTGGCTCCTCGTTGAATGGCTCGGTTGCGTGGGTTCTCGTCCCAGCCCGTCTTCCTGTCCATGATCTGGGTCAGGAACTGCTGCAAGCTGCGAGCGTCGTGGTTTAGAACGTCCCTCGTGTCACGGGGGCCGTCGTCGCCGAGGTGCAGATCCGCGATGGCTTGCGCTATCTCCGCCTCCAATTCGGCGCCCGGCGTGGTGTATGCTTGGAAAGGGTGGTGAGGGCTCTTGCTGAAGCTGCAGACGGAGCCGAGGAAGGCGGCGGGGGCGACGCTTGTCTGCCTCCGTAGCCCAAGGCCTCCTTGTTTGATGGGTCGTCGTGCCCGCGTCAGGGCCCGCGATGACAGGGGCTTGAAGGCGCCCATCATGCGCCGAAGCTGCTCCGCGATAATGTCGTCGAGCGCTTCGCAGTACTCCTTCGACCGACGGGTCGTGCGCATGAAGTAGCCGGACTTGGTCGTAATGCAGTACCGAAGGAACTGGAAGACCAGTTGCGCCGGCAAGTGGCGCTCGCCAGGTCGAGAGCCCTCCGTGTCTCGTCGAGGTGGGATGCCTCGTATGGCCCGAAGAGGGGGACGCCCAGCACTTTCGCGGTCTGGTCGCCGTAGGGGATGACGACCGTCTTGCCTTCATTGATCTTCAGCCCCGTCCGGCGGATCTCCGTGTCGAGCCGCTCCGCGGCCGCCTTGACGTCATCGCGCGGGCCAACGATGTAGGTGTCATCAAGGTACGCGACGACGGTGACCGTGGGGTGGGCCTTGTCGGTTTCCTTCAGCGCGTGGATCGTGGCGAGGGCAAAATACGCCGGTGAGAGCGGACCGCCCTGCGCGATGCCATCGCGCATGTGGAGGGTGTCGCCACCCGGTGTGACGACGACCGGTGCCTGGCCGTACGTCGCCAGGAAGCAATGTGCGAGGCTCGGGAAGCGGCGGCTGATGGCGTCGTAGATTGAGCGTCGCGTCACCGCCCCGAAGGCGTTGGAGATGTCGAGCGCCTGCGCCACGTGGTCCCGGTGGGCCCGCAGGTACTCACGCAGGCCATGCACGATGCACTCTGTGCCGGCGGGGATGCCGACGCCGAGTTGGTGCGGGCATAGGGCGTCGGCGATCTCGGCCTTGTGCGCGCTGAAGACCGTCTTCTCCAGGAGCTTGGTGATGCTGTCCATGGGGACCACAGGTCGGATGCCGCCATTGCTCTTCGTCAGCGGCACCACGCGTCCACCCATGAGGAGTGGCATGCGCTTCCGAAACTTGCCATGATACAGCGCGTTGACCAGCTTCGGCAGGGATGCTCCGTGCTCGTGCAGCTGCGCCAGGGTCGCGGGCGTGAGCCCGGTGGCGCCCGCCGCCGCCTGCCTGTCCAGCGTGTACAGCGCATCCGTGATCTTTTCTACCGGGAGATCGTCGATGGTGGTTCTGGCGAGTGGCCCGTCGCCGCCAGCGTCGCCGCCGCTGTTGTCGTCGCCCCTGCTGGGCAGGCCTGCGCTGCCTGTCGTGATGATCTTCTGCTTCACCTGCTCCTTGATGTCGTCGCTCCACTCCGCGACGGAGGCGGTGTCGCGGAGGATCGAGTGGCCTTTGGACATTTGCCCAGCTCGAAACCGCTTCGCCGCCGCCCGTGCTTTCGCCCGGTCTCCCGTGGCCGGGCGTCCGCTGGGCTTCCGCGTCACACTCTCCTCCAGCTCGTCCCACTCCCGTGCGGCCAGCATCCGCATTCGTGCCAGCGTCATGTTCTGGGAGAGGAAGTGCTGGGGCGTGCGGGCGAAAACGCGTTGAAGGAGGTAGACGCCGGCGTCCAGGTAGGTGTACTGGTCGTCGTTGTCGGGGTCGTCCGCGAAGGCACACGCCTGTCCGATCAGGGAGTCCGCAATCAGGACTGCGCGTCGTTCTGTCGGGGAGCGAACTCTGACGTCGACGGCCGTCTTGACGCCGTGATACACGTCCACGTTGGCCACCCTGGACACCAGATCTTGCTCGAAAGTAGCGAACTTGGCGTTCCACCACGACTCCGGCTTGTAGTGGGTTTCGGGCGGGTCCTCCGGAACTGCCTCCGCGTGCTTGCACTTGTGCCGCGGAGAGCACACGTACGCGCACTTCGTGCAGAAGCCGAGCCCGAGGGCTGCCGCGAGGCCGGGTATGGCATGTTCTGGGTGGGCCGTACGTATGTGAGTGGCGAGCGCGGTGAGGTTCTTGTGGCCATCTGCCGCGTTGTGCGAGTGCACGCTGCAGTTGCCGAAGGGGCAGGGGAGCTTCGGCAAGGGCCCTGCGAACGATCCGTCGTGGGCATACGGGGTGTGGTCTTTCACCCAGCAGTTGGTGTCGTCGCAGCATTGCCTAAGGTCGAACACGTCCGCTAGCGGTGTGTCCGGGACGCTCTGCTCCTCACCACCAGGATCCGCAGGGGTCCGGGGTTCGGGAGTAGCAGCCTGGGCTGGCTCGTGTGCAGCGGACGCGGCCGTGGTCAACGCCGCCGTGGTGTTCGCCGCCGTCGGCTGTTGGTGTTGGGCCTCGACGGCCCCGTGGGGAGGCGCACGCGCTGCGGCGTGGTCTCCATGTTGGTGTGAGGCTGGGCCTCCTTGGTGCCCGCTTTGCGCGGGCGTGAGCGCATTAGGGCCATGAGCGTCAGTCGCCTCTGTGTCGGAGGGTGGTTCGGGGCCGTAGACGCTTTGGAGGGCGTCCACCAACTCGCCCGACGAAACCAACTCGCTGTCGTCGAGCGCGTCGAACGTGTCACTTACGTCGAGCGCGTCGAGCGTGTCGGTTACGTTGAGCGCGTCGAGCGTGTCGCTCATGGCTGTGCTGGAATGTTGGGAGTGTGTCGACCGCCCGTCATCGACGGGCTGGAGGTGGTCGTCACTCCCTTCGTGCCGGGCGGGGCTGGAGGTGCACAGCGGCTCCTCTCTGTTTGCCTCTGCCGCGACAGCATGGTCGTCGTCGTCGTCGACGTCGTCGTTGCCGTTGTCGTTGTGCTCGGGTCCTCGGTCGTCTGCGCGGGTTGAGCCCTGTGGAAGGCCACGGCTAGGTGTACTCGCGCGTCTGGTAAGAGCGCGCGGGTTGGCGACCTCTCGGTAGTGGCCCGGGGCCCTTTGCGCTTCTGCAACTGCCTGTCTGTTCTTTATTCTTGCCTTGTACATGTTTTTGAGTGTCGCGTGTCGCTTGGTGTGTGTTGTGCTTGATAGTGGTGATCGGGAGTATCGTGCATAGATGGCATGACATGACGCATGGCACAGACACACCACTCGCTTGAACCTGGCGTTGCGTGCGGAACATAACATTACAAGTATTACAAGTATTCACACGCCAGTCCACCATCATCATCATCATCATCATCATCATCATCATCATCATCATCATCATCATCATCATCATCATCATCATCATCATCATCATCATCATCATCATCATCATCATCATCATCATCATGCGTCGTGCTCCTGTTGTTGCTGTTGGGAGAGGATGGGGACGAGACGCGTTGTGTTGCGCTTGAGGTGGCGCATCAAGGACTTGAGCGTTTGCAGTGCAAGCTGCATGCTGTCGTAATTCATGTCTGTGTGCGCAAGCAGCACCGGCAGTTTGACTGTTGCGCGCGCGAGTGTGTGTGCATGAGTGCGTGCGTGTGTGTGCGTGAGTGTGTGTGTGTGTTTGAGTTTGTGAATGTGTGAGTGTGAGTGTGTGTTTGAGTTTGTGAGTATGTGGGTGTGTATGAGCATATATGTGTGCAACTGGGCGAGACAAGAGTTTGAGAACAAATGTCAGCGTGCGTGCGTGTGGGATCAAAACGCAAGCGATTGGTTGCCTCACCAAAGAGTCGCAGCAGATGAACGCCGCCGTAATGGTCACAGAGGTCCACGTCAGCATTGTTGGCGATGATGCCATCAAACTGCAGATACGATACACACACGTGAGAGGCAGGGAGTTTGCTCTACGTCAGCTGAAGCATGACGGTGCTGACGGGTTGTATGTTCATGGGTTGTGTGCTGATGGGAAGGTGTTTGGGAAGCCGGCACCGTGTTGGTCGATGCCACCTTAAACATTCATACATGCACAGTGTTCAATAACCATCCCTGTACGTGCATGTGACATGATATTGGCACCAGAAGTGCGAGCCATACGATCCCCAACCTGTGAACGTTCTGCTGCATAGAGGAGGATGTTTGGAAGCGCTTGCCGAAAGTACTCCTGTCAGTGACGGATCACGCGGTGGGGCGAGAGAGGAAGGGGGACGTTGGTGATTGGGCATGCATGTACGGGGGCGGAGACATGGGACACAGCACGTCCATGAATGTGTGTGCGTGTGTGTTCATGAACGTGTGTGTGTGTGCGTGTGTGTTCATGAACGTGCGTGTGTGTGCATGTACACATGTGTATATACGTGACACGCGCAACACACGCGCGCACACACGACAAAAAAAGAACACAAGCACACCCCAACACACACACACACACACACACAAGTGCACACAAGTGCACACAAGAGACAAAGGACACGAACACACGCACCTTGAGGCCTACTGTGACTTGTTGGGCGATGGGATGCTGGGGCGAACTTGTCTTGATGGTGGACATGAAGTCCGCCAGCACCTCGGTCACGGTCGGTGATGCCGGTAACGCGTGGAGCTAAGGAGGGCGTTGGCGTTGGCGTTGGCGTTGGGGAGAGAGTGCAGGTGAGATGTAAAGAACAATGCACGTGGTTCAATGGCTTGCATTAATATGGAGGGGCTTGGCAAAGGACAGAAATGCAGCTGTGAAAAGAGTGGGAGAACGAGCACGGTGGGGCACATCGCATACGATCGAAGAAGGCATGCGCAACTGAGGAAGGAGCACGTGTGTGTGTGTGTGTGTGTGTGTGTGTGTGTGTGTGTGTGTGTGTGTGTGTGTGCGTGTGTCTGTGTGTGTGTGTGTGTGTGTGTGTGTGTGTGTGTGTGTTACCTTTGCTGCAGCGATGAGGTCGTAGTCGTCGACCAATTTCTGCTTCAAGTCATCCGGAAGAGCCACCTGCACTTGCACCTCATCCAAGCCCTCCTGTGCCCACCATATACGTGGTACGACATTGTGTCAGTTTGAGTGTGTGCGTGCACGCTGAAGCGCTTGCAGGTGTTGCCTTCTTCCCGCTGGTGTTGACAGCACGCACGCACACACAAACAAACGCGACATCCAGACAGGCGGTGTGGTTTGCCTCAAGTCCATATGCGCGTACGTTTGTGTCGAGATTGGCTGGTGGCGCTTCCTGCTCACTGGAGCACGCAATTGCACTATCGGGCTGCTGCACCTTGGCTCGCTTCGACGTCCTTCCTCCTGATGAATGGAGAGAGGAAGAGGAAGGGGGCCGGAGGTTAATTGCAAAACAAACGTGAGCCACCTTGTCTTGCAGCTGACCCATCTCATTGCCGCGGCCGCCGCACTCGCACATGCACGTGTGCGCACGATCACTCATACACGCACATAAAATGCTGTCCACACCAGTGCTGCGTCGTTTCTTGACAGGCTCCTTGTCCCTCTGTTGCTCCTTGAAGCGAGCAACTCGCTTAAGTGTCGTGGCATTGATGCGCTGCCTGATCTCCTCCGTCACGGGGCCGCTCTTCAGCACCCGGCACACGTCAACCCACTCGTCGTACCTGTGGTATGCGTGTGTATGTACATGTGTGTGTAAGTATGTATGTGTGTGTGTATGTACATGTGGTGCGTGCGTGTGTGTGTGTTTGTGTGTGTCTGTGTCTGTGTGCGTGTCTGTGTGTGTATGTGTGTGTGTGTGTGTGTGTGTAGAAGCACAGTTGTGTCGGACAACATCACCTATCATACCTCTTCTTCCAGCCTTGATAGTGGACTTTGTAGATGGGGGTACCCTCTGGTGTGTCCAATGTCTGCAACACCTGCAAGAGACGCGAGCATGATCTCACGACATGTCAGGGCAGGCTTCGGGAAAGCTCTGCGCACACACACACACACACACACACACACACACACACACACACGCACGCACACACGAATACACACGAAGCACATGCGTGTACGCACGCACCACACGCACGCACACACGAATACACACGAAGCACATGCGTGTACGCACGCACCACATGTACGCACACACAACATACATACGCACACACGCACGCACACACACACACGCACATACGTACACACATACATGCATACACGCAGACACACCACGTTGATCACACCTTTGCTGGGTAGATTGATGGGCCATGGAAGCACAAGACATCCTCGTCGTTGCTGATATCGGGCTGATCTGAGCTTGAGAGAGTGATCACGTGTTGGCGCCCACTGGCTGCTTTTCTGCCCCCACGCCCACGACCACGACCACGACCACGACCACGACCACCACGACCACGACCCTTGCTCTGTGCCTTTGATGAAGTAGATGCCCGTGCCCTCGATGACGCCGCGGAGGCCGACGAAGGGGTTGAGGACGAGGACCCTGCTTTGCGGCGAGCGCGCTGTGATTTCCCACCTCGTTGCTTCCTCCCTGCACTGGCACCAGCTGCAGCCTTTCCTCTCCCCCTGCCCCTTGCCGGTGCTTTCTTGCCTGTTGTGTTCACTGCCTCATCACCCTGCTTGGCCCTTGCTGTCCTTCCTTCTCGCCCCACACCACCACCAGTGCCATCACCAACATCATCACTGCTTCCGTTCTTGTCGCTCATCATGGCTGTTGCGAGAACAAGTCCTTCCTCCTTCTTCCACTCACTTTTTTGCGAACACGTCAGCAACCAAATAACACAACGATGATGAAGCTGCTGTCAGTGTTGCTGGTGTTGGTGGGCACCCTTGCCCTTGTGCACGGCTTCAGCGTGCCCCTTGAGAGCATCACGAAGGTGAGTGTCTGTGTGTGTGTGTGTGTGTGTGTGTCTGTGTCTGTGTGTCTGTGTGTGTGTGTTTGTTGTGTGTGTTTGTTGTGTGTGTTTGTTGTGTGTGTGTGTGTTTGTTGTGTGTGTTTGTTGTGTGTGTGTGTGTGTGTGTGTGTGTGTGTCTGTGTGTCTGTGTGTGTCTGTGTGTCTGTGTGTGTCTGTGTGTCTGTGTGTGTCTGTGTGTGTCTGTGTGTCTGTGTGTGTGTCTGTGTCTGTGTGTCTGTGTGTCTGTGTGTGTGTGTGTGTGTGTGTGTGTGTGTGTCTGTGGTGTTCTTATCTGCTTGCTTGCTTGTCTTGCTCATCACTGGGCCATGCCACTGCACACCAGGCGTCTCCTTTGTCCAAGGAGGAGATGAACACTCTCATGACAGTGCGCATGCCATTCGTTTGTAAGTCGCTCTGCGCGTGCGTTGTGCCAGCGCTCGTCTGTCCTCTGCCTGCCGGCTCGTCTGTCCAGTCGCTTGTGGGGCTGCTCGACTGCTGCTTGTTGTGCATGCTCCCCTTTGCGTGACACACCCACCTTCACCCACGCCCGTTGTGCTGTTCGCTAGTGGCCTTCCACGACGGTGAGGACAACTTGGACGAGGACATCATCAGTGAATATGCGCAGCAGCTCGATGGCCTCGGGCGCTTCGCCACCGTGGACGTGTCAAACCCAAAGTACGCCGACTTCCTCAAGACCCTGGTACGTACGTGATGCTCAGAGACTCCCCACCCGCTGGCACACTCTCAACTGCACACGTAGACAGAACCGTGATCACCTGTGACCCAGCTACTTCTGCTCCCTTCACTAAGTGACCCCCCCCCGCACTCCCTCCATTTGGTGCCCTTTGATGCAACAGGATGTGTCTACTGCTGACCACCCCTCCTTCCGCGTGTACGGGTTTTCAGCGCCAAAGACCGACTTCCTCGACACTGAGGTGTGCCCGTGTGTCTATGTGTGTGTGTGTGTGTGTGTCTGTATGTCTGTGTGTCTGTATGTCTGTATGTGTGTCTGTCTGTCTGTCTGTCTGTCTGTCTGTCTGTCTGTATGTCTGCTTGCCTCTGTTGTTCATGCCTGCTTGCAGGCCTGCATTTGCCTCTCTGTCTCGGTCCGAGTCTGCTTGAGTGCCAGCAACCCCTCGCTCAATTGTCCGTAACAACCGTTGCCCCCCCCCCTTTGCAACAGAACTTTGAGGAGGTCGTTCCCTACGTCCGCGACTCGCTGCCCGACGACCTCATCACGGTTCGTTGACGTGCTGTGTGTTGTGTTGTGTGTTGTGTGTGTGAGTGCGTTGTGCTGTGTGTGTGTTGTGTGTTGTGTGTGTGTGAGTGCGTTGTGTTGTGTACGTGAGTGAGTGCGTTGTGTTGTGTGTGTGTACGTGAGTGCGTGCGTGTGTGTTGTATTGTGTGCGTGTGTTGTGCCTCTATGTCTGTGCATCTATGCCGTTGTGTTTGGACCCATGTGGTTCGTAGAATGCTCTGTTGTGCCGTGCTGTCCGTAATTGTTCCTTGCTTCTCCTGTGCAACTTTCGATGCATCCCTTCACATTGGCGTGTACATGTGTGCATATGCGTGCGTGCTGCTGCGTAGACCGTGCCTGATCCCAGCGTGTTCCAGCAGATGCTGGTGGAGGATCTCCAGCAGAAGAAGCTCCCAGTCTTCATCCTCACAAGTGAGCCCACATGCACACATGGAAACGTGTGCGAAACGATGTAACACCTTGCGCGTGTATCGCAAGCACACCCACTCACTCACTCACCCACCCACTCACTCACTCACTCACTCACCCACTCACTCACTCACTCACCCACTCACTCACTCACTCACCCACTCACTCACTCACTCACTCACTCACTCACCACTCACTCACTCACTCACTCACTCACTCACTCACTCACTCACTCACTCACTCACTCACTCACTCACTCACTCACTCACTCACTCACTCACTCACTCACTCACTCACTCACTCACTCACTCACTTACTTACTTACTTACTTCTACACACGTGTGCAGACAAGGATGGTGTCCCTGACATGGTGACAAAGCTTGGCATCTGGCTCGGGCGCACCTTCGGCTTCCACATGTTCATCAAGCCAGACCCAAACACGATGCAGTCGCTAGGCCTGACCAAGCTGCCCACCATCGTTGTGATGGCGCCCACCAAAGCCGAGGGCGACTCGCTCGCTTTTGCACCGCAGCCATACGACCGCACCCGCTTCGGAGGTGATGGTGATGGTGATGGTGATGGTGGAGGTGATGGTGTGGTGGTGACGACGGAGTGATGGACAGCCATATAGGCGCATATGGGACGTAATTGTATCGTTTCGTTGACACACTCCCTTGCACACAAACCTGCTCCAACACACACACGCCCTCACACTCAGTCACACTCACACACTCGCACACACTCACAAACTGGCACGTGCGCAGGCCTGAAGTTCCTGAACGTCGTACACTATCTGTTGTCCATTCAGAATGCCCTTGCCCGCGATGGTGTTCTGGAGGAAGTGTTTGCGGCGTTTGGCGCAGACAAACAGGCCGAGGAGGTCAGCCCATGTGTACCCGTGCACACAGTTGTACTGTTGTCACTGCAGCCCAACAGCATATTCACACATGCACCCTCACACATGTGCCCTCACGCATGTGCCCTCATATATTCACACATGCACGCACATTCACAATTCACACATGCACGCACATTCACAATCAAACACATGCACACATGCGCACGTGCATCTGTAGCCCTTCACGAGCAGCAGCAGCAGTAGTAATGATGTGGAGCGAGAGGACGTGTTTGAGGTGACAGCAGAGACGCCGGACTTTTGCAGCGAGAATCAGCTCGGGCTGTGCATCATTGCGTTTCTGGATGGGTCCCCGGCCAACCAGGACAAGGACACGCAAATCGACGTCCTAAAGCAGGTGAACAATTGGGCATTTGAAGGCTTGGCACGATGGTCCTGTGCTCGTACTTGATGCTGCTGCTGTTGCTGGTGGCAATCGCAATGGGGATGTTGCTGTTTGTTGGGATTTGGGAGTGCTCACCTCGGCTTTGCTTTGCTCGTGTTAACTTGATGTTGTGCCTTGTGACCTCATGCATCCCACTCACCCTTGAATCAACCGACCCCCTTTTCCTTTGTGCGCCATCCTCGATGCACATTGCACCAGGTGCAGAGCGACCCTGCAAACAAAGGCCGCATCCTGCGCTTCATGTGGGTTGACCAGGTCTGCCGCCCCGACCTTGGCCAGGCCTTTGGAGTCGACATTGACAAGTGAGGAAACACAACAGTACCCACTGCACTGTTGTTGAGGAAGGAGTGTTACTTGTTGGTGTGTGTGTGTGTGTAAATATGTGTATATGTGCACGTGTGTGCGCCTCTCTGCGTGCAACTCTTGTGGTGTACCGCGTGTTGTTGGCCTGCCCATCTCTCTCTCTCTCTCTCTCTCTCTCTCTCTCT